TTTGTGTGTTGCGATTTGGGTGTTACGGGTATTGGGTTGGGTATTTGTTGCGCAGGTGTTTTATTGTGGATTTGTTTTACAATATATACATATCTCATTCAACTTACCTGATTGCATAGTATCCTAACTCTGATTGGGGTCAGGCTATAGACCAATTTTCAGGGGAATTAATTTACTTCGATTCCCCCAAACTTTGACTACTAGTGGGGTATAAAGGATTAACAACCCTCTGTGTATACTAATTAGTGAGTTAATTGGTGTGTCCCCCTAGTGGGTCTTCAGTGGCAGCATTAGTTACCACTGCTCCTGTGATGCCAAATTTTCTGATCTGTGAGGAGCCCCATGGGCTGGATGCCATGGTTCCATGGCCCAGATTTGGTCCATGGGCCAGAAGTTGATCATATTTTCATGACACAATATTTAAGATGCCTGAATCTCAACTACACCAGCAGATTAGCAACCAAGCAGCTGTTTGCTGATGGCAGCTACAGGCTAACATTTACTTCTTATTTTAAAGATCCATGCTCTCTATCTTTTGACATTCAACTTACACGTGATAATTCTCACACAACATTTCTCCTAGAGCTGTACCTGAATGAGAACCACCCCTTTATCATTATTTGAGCCTCATTTGTCCATTCAACTAGTGTTGTCTGCACACACTAACTTATCTCCCTTCAAGAGTCAAAGCAAGATCATAATCACTGTTATGTATCATTGTATCAATGCCGAACTTTAGATTAAAAGTGGATATAGAAATCATTTACCTTTAGCTGCTCGGTTCAAATTCAGTTCAAGCTGCTAATGTTGGAGATATGTTATCATTAAACAAGGGTGCATTTGAAATGACCAATTCTTGGAGAAAATTATATAACGCCCTCACTGGCAATGCCAACAGCCAACTGGATATAATGGCAGAAAGGCTCTTTCCCCACTACAAGTGGTCTATCAGGTAAGTATAGTGGTACAATGAAGGAGAGAGCATATTCCATCACTTCCCATAGAATATGTTTTTTGTGAATAAAATCTTCACTATGTAGAGATATCTTAATGTTATTTTTTACCAGAAATAAATTAACTCACAATCAGAGGTCCCCCTCAAAAAAGCTGGAAAAAAATATAGTGATGTATTTAAATAAAAGTTCCTCTTTGACTCATTACTACGGTAGAATGACTGGAAGGGAAATTGTTCAGATGAATCTCAGGGTAACAAGACAGAGCCTATTTTACATCTGCTCTCCAGAGAAGGTAGGAAGGGAATTTTCAGGGGCACAATGGAGAGTTAGGTGTTCTATTTCCATTATAAATCAATAAGAATGAGATGTCTATTTCCCTGCTGTGCCTTGAAAAATCTTCTGCTTTAAGCTTTTGATATGATATTTTTAATAGAAATTTGTATTGCCAACTGAATGGTACATGCCAGCTGCTCAAAGATCTTTTGAGCATTATATGTAGTAGCCATTTTTGTCAAGAGCATGAGGAAAACAGTAAGAAAGAGACAGAGAATAACTATTCAATTTGAAATGGAAGAAGGAATCTAGGAAACCAAAAGGTTACTATTGGGCCCCTGGCAGATTTGTTCCCATCAGACAACCGGTAATGTTGCTTGATGGAAACTATCACACTATGTGACTGCTTCATATTCCCAAAACAAGCTAACCAGAGGGGAAAAATACCCTGGGAACTTCCTCTGCCAGCACTTGCCAGCAAGGAGAGCTGAAAAGCTGCCGTCAGGGACTATAGTCAGTTCCCGTCCCACGCCTTCAGCTGCTAATGAGAAGTGAGCTCCTGGCTAAAGCTGCTCCCCCACCACTTGCACAGAGCTGGGACAACCCACACGAAGGAGAAGATTCTCTCAGAACACCCCAAGGTGCTTCTGTGTATGTGCTTTTTCTCTCTCCCCATGTTGTCCCCACTGACAGCTTTCCAAACAAATTTCCTTCCCCTCTCTCAGATTATTCTTGTGTGTAAGGAACTCATGTCATTTTGAGAATCTGTTTACACTCGGTTTTTAACAGGAAAGAAGTGGTAATGTCTCCTTAAAGACGCAGCTTTGAAGGCTGGTTGGGGAAAGGCTGGAGGGGCAATGAGTAATCTCTTGCTGAGGCTCCCTGGGGCAGCAGAGTTCTTCATGTATCAACAAGAGTCCCCTTGCAGGAATGGCAGGAGGAGGAAGAGGGCAGTCTACCCAGGAGTGCTGGAGGACCTGGCCAAACACTATCAAGGATAGTGCAGGAAGTTAGCAAAAGACATCAGGGAGGAGATGGCAGAGATCATATGGAAATGAAAAGACTGGTACAGCCTATTCAGAGGTGGGAAAGCTGGTGAGAGCGACAATGGCGAGAACAAAGACGGCCGCAATGATTATAGCGATGAGTGAAAGGACTAGGGAATCAGGAAAAGGAGTTGGAAGAGGCATGGAGAAGGAGGGGATGGGAAGGAGATGCAGAGGTGGTCGTTTCTGTGATTGTGTGAAGATGATGGGCATGTGGGCTCACAGGTATGTGGTAGTCATTGTAACGGGAAAAAGGATGATGTAACTGTAAAGGTGTGTTCTGGGCTGTCTAGTGCACTGTCACAAGGCAGGTTTATAGAGGCATGGGTGTGTGTGCATGCACATGTGTTTTGCAAGGAAAAAGAAACCACACTATCACCCTATGCATCGAATGCCCCATGTTCAAATTAAAGCTTGATAGAAACCAGCTACAATAATATTCTACAATTTTTAAGCAGCATCTTTGTGGCCACTTGGCCATTTTTATTGTGTGAAAATTACTTTGTCTATATAGCATGTGTAAATTTATTGTGGAATTAAACAACTGATTGAGTAATAAATATAATGCGCCTCAGGGAATAGAATTTGGCAAGGAATAGAATTCTTTTAGAATTTGGCAAGGAATTTCATCAAATGCACCTCCCTTACAAGAAGTGATATGATGTCTTTAATGGCCAGGAATAGTCTTCATCTCAAGCAACAATTCTCCTAAGGAACATGTTGGGGTTATTCATTGACAGTCAGATGCTATTCATTCAGATAGAACTCCTCCAACAGAAATCAATGGGAGTACTACATCTATAAGCAAAAATGGTCCCAAAGTTGCTTCCAGAAATGCATGGACATTTCTTCAAAAGTTTTCAAATTATTTGTCTGGAAAGTGCTTACTCACTGATTAAATCTTGTTAAATTGTATTACAACCTGGTTACAAGAAAAGCAAATATAGTTGTTCTCTAAATGTGGTCTTGGTCTGCTCTAAATTACTAAGACCAAAAAAATATAAGGTATGTAGACTGCCTCATTCTGAAAATGGACACATACAGGTGGATTCCAATTCTCAGCGGAGAGCCTTAACACCTTTCATTGTTTTCTATTCCCAGCAAAGATTAATTTATAAAGCAGAGGTGGGCAAAATACAGCCTGTGGGACAGATCTGAACAGCCAAGGGATTTTATTCAGCCTCTGGCAGGCCCCTCAGCTCTGCCCAGTCCAGATGTGTGTGCGTGTGTGGGGGGTGCAGCTTGGGCCATGGCACATGTGGCTGGTCCTGACCCCACTTGGCACAGCACGCAGTGCGGCTGGGACAGCATAGTGGCCGGACTCTGCTTCCTGGTAACCCCGGTGGCAGCAGCTCCTTCTAACTTGTGATTGTGGAAGTCATGCTTCCCATTCAGAGCACAGGCTAGAGCAGAGCAATGGGACGTGTTTGAGAAGGCAGCATGGTTCCTGATACGGGCTCCAAATGCATCTCATCGCTTGCTACTGCAAGATCATAGGCGGATAAATGCATGGGCCAACTGGGCACGAGCCCAGGGGCCCCTACCAATTCAGGGCCCTGGGATCCTAATCAGCCGGGAAGTGAAAGCAGGGTTTTAAACTTGGTACGTATCTGTCTCCCAGTAGGGAGACAACAATGGCGCCAAGTTTAAAACCATAGCTTTTGCATTTGCTTCCCTGCTCTACCAATGGGGCTGGGGGGCCAGGGCTGGGGCTGGGCTGGCCAGGAGCGCTGTGCCAGGAGCGGGGCGGGCTGGGAGCACCACATTGTGCTGTGCCTCTGCAGGCTGGCAACGGCACTGGGGGGGGTCCATATGCCCCTCAAATTCACCTTAGCCCCCCGTAGCGACAATCACATGGCACAAACTGAGCATTAGATTCCACATTCTAATCAAACACTGCAAACACTGCACTGTGGGCCTAGAAGGCTTGGCACAGTGGAAAATGCCCTGCAAGAGCGCTCATTAAGATGCATGCAAATAGGGCAATGCCACCACTGGTTTGGAAGGTCACATGCAGTGCTCACTGCCATGGCAAGTCTGCAGTGTTGCTCCAGCAAACATAAGTTACCCAGAGATTTGTCTTCAAACCTGTGCTGCAGGCCACCCAAACCCCAGGGATCTGTGTTTTCAGGGAGGAGCATGGGAGAGGCTGGACCAGGTATAAAGCCCCATTTTACAGGCACAGGATCAGACGCAGAAGCTGTTTCCCCATGAACTCTTCTCCTGTCTCAAGGGGTTCTCAAGCTTTTCAGACTCAAGGCAGCCCTGGTTAGATGCAAAGCACCACTCAAATACCAGCTCTTAGTTTTCACTACTTTTCGGCTACAGAAGCCCAATAGAGCAGTCCTCTTGCTGCAAAGACGGCAGGAAGGGCAGGTTCTTTTTAGCACTGCGGATTCCTCTTTGAAATCCCTGGGGTCATTTTGCGACTCACGCCCACACCCCTCACAGGGCGGGTGACGCTGGTGGCACTCCCGTGCCACCCCAGGCCCGACAGGATCCCAAGGCACTGTGAGGACCGCTGCTCCACATCCTCTGAGGCGGGACCGTAACCTCGGTGGGCGCCACCCCCGCCCGCGCCCCCCTGCCTGCCCGGGGGAGGGGGAGGGGCTCCCGGTGCCGCAGTCTCTCGGGCCCGGGGGAAAGGGGGGCCCGGGGGAAAGGGGGCCCCGAGGGGCTGGGTCCGGGCTGCACCCCCCGCCCCAAGGCCGGCCCCGATACTCACAGCTCCCGCGCTGCCTCCGTGTTCTCCGTTAGCAACAGCTAACGTCCTCCGTTGCTACCCAATACGTCACTTCCGCCGACGGCGTGGGAAAGCTTGCTCGAGTCCTCCGTGCCCCGCTGCTTACTGGGAGTTGTAGGCCACCTCATGTTCCGGGTTTCGAACAACCCCGCGCTGTCTCCGCCCACTTCCTGTTTGCCCGGCGCGCGGCATGCCGGGAGCTGTAGTCCCACGCCCGCGTCAGGGCCGTCAAGGGGCGGCCGAGAAGACTACAGGGAGGCAGCCCTCCCCGGTTATGGTCCATAGGGCTGGGGCTGCGCGCATGCGCGATGCTGGGTGCATGTGCGGCGGCGGCAGCATGAAGCGGAGCGCGGGGGAGAGCGAGCAACAAGCGAAGGTACCTGCCCCTCGCCTGCGGGCTGCGGCGGGGGGAGGCGCTCGGCTCCCGGCT